CTAACATAGGTATTTTGACATAAAATCGGACTTTTTCTGAAATAGCATACCAATGTTTTTTCATATTTCGATTCTACAACTCAAATTATGCCAGAATACCAAGTTTTGTCAAAATCGTACGAGTAGTATTTAAAATATTAGCTCTCAAAATTTTAGCTCCTCAATGTTAATTGAATTTGGCAAATATTATAATATCTCTTTTTATTAAACTTTTTGATTTTTCTCTCACATTTCTAAATTTAGGTTCATTGAAAATAAAATTTACACATTTTTGTGTTTTATTTTTTAAATTTCTATTTTTAAATAATTTTTATAAATTTTTCGAAAAACATTTTGAATTATAACCTATAAAAATTTTACCATCGTCTTAAAGTAGGTGTATTTTTAAGCATATCTGCAAAAAATTAGACTTTTTAATTCAAAATTATCTAGATATACATGAATTTACATATTTTCGAGTTTTGAAATTTGGCATCTTTTTTTTTTTTGAGCGATAATAACGCCAAATGTGGTCTATGGATTTTTGTTACAGTGAATTGCCACAGCTATTTTTAACCTTAAATTTCAAGTAAAATTTTACGGAGAATTAACTATATGACATTTTTTTCCTCAATGATGCGTAATAAATATTTATTAATACTATATGAAAAGCTATTTTTTTAATTATAGATGATATTATTCAAATTTGTAACTATAAGTAGTAAGCGGCCGTACTCGGTAGGCAGAAGTGACGTCACAGAAAAGGGGCGTGTCGCCGACATTGAACACGTGTAAGGCGCCGAAACGAATTTTGGAGATGTGACAACCGGACAACGTCGGATGGAGGATGAGACGGAATGACATCATCAAAGTTTCGTTTGATTCTGTGGCAACGATTTTATGTTTCAAAGTTTTTATTTTTTTGTGGCAACGAAACAATTTTTATGTTTACGGCAACAGTATCTTGAACTATGTGTTTGGAATGACATCACTTTCAATTTATTATTTTTTAATTATTTGACATGTGATTTATTATTTTTAACTATTTAGTATGTCATTAATTTTAATTATTTACTCTTTTTTAATAAGTATTTTAATTATTTACTACGTTATTATTTTAATTATTACCTGTAATTAAATTTTATTGAATTTAATATTATTTTCGCTGAATTTTAAAAATAGCTCCACGAGCGGGATTCGAACCCGAAAAACTTTAGTTTGGAAACTTTAGTTTCGAAACTTTAGTTTGATCGAAAACTTTAGTTTGATCGAATGATCGAAACTTTAGTTTGGAAGACGATTTCCCAAACCACTATGCCAGCGAGACCTTACAAGCAATGTCACATTATCGCGTTGAGTAGAAAAACAAGGATGACGTCATGAGGCTGGGGGAAACAGGCAAACGTCATCTCTTTCACGTTGCAGCATGCCGAAACCGCTTCACGCTTTCTACATCCGCCGTGGCGAATGTATGCAATCTTAAACGACCAATCAGATTCTAGCTAACAATATCTAACTTATTTCAGCCAATCAGCGTTTCTCTTTCATTGTATATCGCCTATATATTCTCCCGCGTTGACGAATGCAATCATCACCTCTGACCTCCTAAAAATTGTCATGAAAAAACAACGTCATGTGCCCTTTGGGCTCAATTTTTCAAGAGCCGGATAAGTTGCGCAGCTGCGCGACACTTCGGCAATAGCCGTACAGACTAGACTAGAATAAATGCAATCATTTTTATTGTGGTTGTTGCTGAGCGAACGTTCTCTTGCCTTTTTGTGATTTTCTTTTGCGCCATTTTCATTTTATCCATACGATGTCTGCTAAACGAGTTTTTTCTGCATCTAATGTAAGTATATTTTTTTGCTTCTACTTTATTTTTAGATTACCATTTTTAAACACGAATTTTTTTAAACACGTTATTTATTCTACTTTTTTTAATTGTTAGGTGTTATTTGAAGATTCTGATTGTCCTTTCCGTGATTCTGATGACGATGTAAGTTTTTACACGTATTTTCGTAGCATATTTTTTTTTTTTTTTTTTTTCCTGAATGTATTTTACCATTTGAGCTTATTTTATTTTGAATGAATCCACTTTTATTTTGATAGTTATTAGATGAAGTGGATCAAATTTTCATGGAAAATCCCCTGATTTTGCCCTTGTACTATCAATGTGGGTTCCGGATTTGAGGTAAATTTTCGTATTTTCGTTACTTTTGATTCTGTTAGAATATTTTTTATAGAACTATAAATGAATGTATTTATTTTTTATTTATTTATTTTTAGACTTCTTCCTCATCAGCTCATGGCCCTGTGTATATGGCTGGTTCCGATGAACGATCGGTATATATTTTTCTTTTCTTGCATGACTTTATTAAAATAATGTATTTTGAAAGTGTTTGATTATTACTGAAACTTATTTTTCTTTTTACTTTCCAGATTGATGAGGCGATTGTACTCACGGAGAAGTCTCGTCGACGAAACCATAAATATCAGGCCGAGGAGATTACCTTCCGAGCCAGTATAGATATGGAACGGCTGCCTCAGAATGTGCAAGGCATCCCGATGGTCCGAATTCCAGACACCGTCCGGGAATTGTTTGAGCAACTTATTCGCCGGACAACAGCAAATCTGGGCCCATCAGACCTCATCCGATTCTGTATCCAAGCAGATGGGTTGGATAAGCCGATTAGCACGTCCCTGATGGCAGTTTCGACTTTAACAGTTGAAAAGATTCTGGCTGCCGTGATGAAAGTGTTGCAGTCTAAAGACAAAATTGAACTGGATACGGGATTCTCAGTGGATGTGATTACTATCAAACGACCTGTAGGTGCCGGACGAAATAGGAAAGTAGTCAACATCTCCATGGACAGACTGGATAAGAAATCTATTTTGTCTATTCCCTATGACGACGAAGGACTGTGTTGTGCCAAAGCGATTGTTTATGCCTTGGCGCATTTGAAAAAGGACACGAACCTGCCATCAATGCCATGAAAGATCGTCGCCGACCAGCCCTTCGTGAAACGTGCAAAGGAACTTCATATGGCTGCGAATGTGCCTCTAGGCCCCTGCACGTTTGCGGAGATAGCCATATTTGAAGACCACCTAGACGTGCAGATTGCCGTCTTTTCTTCGGAAAACTTGAACCGGGTAAGTCAATATTTTTATCTCAAGATAATTCTGTTTTATTAGATTAACTTTATGCATGTATGCAGTTCGTTTCCACGGTAAAAAAATGTAACTTGAAAATACTGAATACATGGTGAATTTTCTAGATTGTGTTACATTTTTTAGATTATATTTTATGTATGAAATTTATTTAGATGCTAAAAACATAACTTGAAAAATTTTTAGATTAATTTTACATTCTAAGATAAAATTTATATTTTATGCATGCATTTCTTTAGACGCTAAAACATATATCTCATAAAAATGCATGGTGAATTCTTAAGACTACTTTAACTTTTAAGATTATATTTTATGTACTCGTATATTCACGCATAAAATGCACGCATGTAGGAAATTTGTTTAGATATTCAAAATTTATTGTGTATAAAATCGAAAGTTTTAGATTATTTGATTTAGGGAAACGTTTTTCTGTTTAGATGTTAAAAATATCACTTGTGAAAATTTTTACTTTTAGGTTACATTAACTTGTTTAGATTATTTTTATATGCAATTCGTTTTGATGTTAAAATGAAATGCACAAGGAATTTTCAGATGATTAGGTATGTAATTAGCTTAGATGCTTAATGCACAAGTAATTTTTAGATGATTAAGAATTTAATTCGTTTCGATGTTAAAAAATGTCTAAAGGGTTTCATTTTGGAATTTAAAAGAAAACTTTTATCTATGTTTTAGGTGGTCTATAAAGGAAAGGAAAGGTCTCAGCGGATCAATGTGTGGCTGCTCCACAATGGACATTACGATGTGATTAAATCCCTGAAAGGATTTTTCGGCAGCAAATATTACTGCACGACATGCGAAAAGGCCTACCAAATGCCTGAAAGTCATAGATGTGCTAATGCCTATCCCATATGTCTGAGGATCGACTGCTTTCCGGGCCAGCCCCAACGATGTCAGGATTGTGACTGTCTCTGCCGATCGGATGCCTGTTATGCAGCACACAAAGCCCTGACTGGAAATCAAGAATTTTCGCTTTGCGATAGGAGTAAGTGTTTTGAAATTATTATCTAAATCAATATATATGCAAATTTCGTTTAAATAATTTGAAATGTTTATCTATGTATGTTAAAAAATAATAAATTGTCGTTACAGAGGTATACCAGTGCAGGAATGCTGCCAAGTGATCCGGAGGCGGGATTGCCCTAAAGAGCTTCACAAGTGGGGAACCACCAAGTGTCCGTCTTGCAGCCAGTTTGTCGTGGCTGCTGAGCACCGTTGTTATTTGCGACGTGTTGCTCCGAAGAAGTCCGATGACAAGTTCATTTTCTTTGACTTTGAAACGGACCAGTCTTCGGGGGAACTCCTCGTAAATTTCGCGGTGGCTCAGTATGCCGACGGCACAGAAAAAGTGTTTCCGGGATACACGGCATGTCAAGATTTCTGCGCCTGGCTGTTCTCCACAGAGCACAAGGGCTTCACCGCCGTGGCACATAACATGAAAGGGTAAGTTAAAAATACTTTAGTTTGCATGCTTTTTAAGTACGACTATTTTTTCAATATTATTCATATTTTTTTTTTTACTTACAGGTTCGACGGGCAGTTCGTGATGGCCTGGCTCCTGGAGCAAGGCACAGCGCCGGAGGTGATCCCTAACGGGTCTATGATCATGATGTGTTTAAGACACCCTAGTCTGAACATTCGGGTCATAGACTCGTTAAATTTTTTACCGATGGCGTTGGCCAAACTGCCGGGATGCTTCGGTCTCACCGAGTTGAAGAAAGGATACTTCCCGCATCTTTTCAACTCCCGAGAAAACCAGAGTTATGTCGGAACGCTACCGGAGACCCACTATTACAGCCCGGACACCATGAGTACTCCAGCCCGAAAAGCATTTCTATCCTGGCACGAAGAACATAAGGGGGATGTGTTCAATTTTCAAGCAGAGATGCTGGCCTATTGCAGGTATATTTTTTCCCTCCTTTATTCTTATTTATTTAATATTTTGTTTTATTCTTATATTTTATATTTCGTATTTTTTAACATTTTTTTTTTAATAGATCGGACGTGGACATTCTTCGTCGATGTTGCCTGGAATTTCGAGCCCAGTTTTTGGATGTGGCGGGTGTGGATCCATTCCAGTAAGTTATTTTCTAATTTCTTCTATACAATAATGATCATGTTTACAGTTATGTTGTTATGGAATAATCATGCTCATGAAGTTCTTTTTTCTTTTCAGATACGTAACCATTGCGTAAGCGTGTATGGCAACCTATCGGAGTGGCCACATTCAGCCCAACACGATTGCCATGGTACCCACACGCGGATACGTGAACTCCACGAATTACAGCCCTGATTCGATCCGGTGGTTTGTTGCTGCTTCGGAAGGCATTGCCCTTCAACATGCGTTGAACGGTTCCGGAGAGCACAGAATCGCCGGAATCTCGGTAGACGGTTTCTGCCAAGCAACGCAAACCGTCTATCAGTTTCAGGTAAGAAAATATAACCATTCTTTTTCTATGTGATTCTTTTGAATGATTTTTACACTTTTAATGTTTAATTTACATGTGGAACCCTAATAATGTATTCGTGTTTTTTTAGGGCTGTTTTTTCCATGGGTGTAGTCCGTGCTATGACGGGGATACCATTCACCCCTTAAAAGGAGTTTCCATGGCAACGTTAAGAGAAAAGACAGAAGAGGCCACACGAAAACTTCGAGCCCAGGGTTTCCACGTCATAGAAATGTGGGAGCATGAGTTTCAGAGAGAAAAAGAGGAAAATCCAGGTCTCCAAGCTTTCCTGGATCAACACCATTTGAGGGACCGACTCAATCCTCGCGAGTCATTTTTCGGAGGACGGACCAATGCCCTCAAATTGTTCCACGAGGGAGACGCTAAATATGTGGATTTCACATCCCTCTATCCATGGGTTCGTACTTTTTTATTATTTTAAAACCTTTTCATGGATGATGTGTTTTTCTGATTTTTATGTATGTTTTTTGTGATTGTGTTTTCTGACTTTTTGTTTATTTCACAGGTGAACAAATACTGCGTCTACCCCCGGGACATCCGGAAATCATCACAGAAAGCTTCGGGGATCTAGAACACTACTT